AAACGCTGCGAAGTGGAACAAAAGAAGTGAGTGCTGCATCTTTGTATATATATATATATGAGCAACCGAGCAACCGACAAAATTATTGGAATACTAAATATGTAAGAGGCCGCTTTGTGCTTTTAGAGAAGTGAAGAAATCCTTGGCAACCGATAGGGGACGACCCACCACCGATACCCTATATACCTACCAAGATTGTTTTGGTTGTTATTGTTTTTTGATGGCTGTAATTTGGAGTCCAAGGTGCTAATAAGAGTAGTTCTGAACCTTAATGGGTTATATTGCAAGGGCTATCACACCTTTGTCACGTTAGTTCGCCGATTAGGTTTCATTAATGAGCAATAGCTGGGGATTGTTTTTTGTTTTGAGGACAGGTCCAGGAGATGTGATTGGCTTCCTCTTTGGAAGGTTTCCTCACCGTTTTGCTGTGTGTTTGGATCCAGGGGTTCTCTTGGTTGACTGGTCTCCTCACGTGTGTGGGTGCTTACGCCATGGAATGTGGGAGCTCTCACGGACAGGTCAACCGATACTAACCGGTACCCTGTTTTGCAGATTTATGCCCCTTGTCCCATTTGAAGGGCTGACACTATATGCCGGACCCTGGCGGGTGTGCAGATCTCTCATGTTTGTAGCTGCAGTTTTCATTTCTCAGCATCCACATGGTAGAATAGTTTCACCTCATTGCAATGTTTCCCTACGGGTGTTTACAATAAGGCGAGCAAGGAAGTACAAGGAGGCATTAGAAAATTCTGCAAACATGTACACACTCGTACCAGATGATGCAGACATCCAAGAGGAAATTGACAAGAAGATTAGCAGACTACAACGGAGGAGGCCGAGGAGTAAACACAAGCAACAACTTTTGGCCAAGAAAGAGCAAAGCATTGTAGAAGCAGGTCAGGGCACCAGCTCAGAATCCAGCTCCTCAAGTTCAATGTCAGATGCCTAACGCCAAGTCAAAAAAGGAGATGCTACTCTGCTGTTTGCTTCCACAAGCCTTTCACAAGGTACTCACAGTTTCAGGCCCCGAAGTGGAGAGCAATCAAAACGCAACATGGCAAGCCCTTCACAACCGATGCTGCACAAATCACACCATCATGACATCACATTTAAAATGCCTAAATCCTCACAACCGATAGGGGACGACCCAGTTTGGCATATGGCATATTGTATGAATATTTTAGTTTTGTCCGCACCTCATATATCTTCAATTCTTTTTTTGCCGAATTCCTGAGCCGTGTCGGACGGCCATGTTTGTTGGAACATGTTGAAACCGAGCGAAACTCGCGCAGGCTGCAGCCATGGTGAATGCAGCTGCGGCCCATGCAGCCACGCAACATGCAGGTGTCCTGTGGGGGAGTTGCTGTGGGTCACGACTCGACTTAAGGCGTTGGTGCCAACATCATGGACCAGGCTGAATGGCGCTCCAAAAAGCTAGTTACCATAAGGCTTATATAAGGCCTAGTATAAGGCCTATCAGAAAAGGGTATGAACCTTGTTACTGGTACAGTAGCTTCTTGTTTCTAGTAGTAATGGCCTCCATCCTAATAGCGATGGCCTCCACCTAGTGAGCTTCTTGTTTCTAGTAGTAATGCCCTTGTTACAAAAACGGACAACCAAACTCGCCATACCCAAACTCCTAGAGTTTGTGAGTCCAAAGAGTCCAAAGAGTCGGCTGCTGGCTGAAACCGCGACATTTGGATGGTTTGGGTCTGTCCGATACCTGTAACAGGACCTGTTTGGGCCTGCAAATCCACCTATTTTTTGAACTGTCGGCCTGGCAACCAGGCCCCATCATCATCCACTGTTGTAATAGGATAGACCTGAAGGATGGTCCAACATCCTGTGTTTGCAACAGACCACCTCACGAATCATTGAACTTCATGAGCCACCAGAGCTGAGAGCGGTTGGTGCTTGAATTTGACATGCCTTTTCCAAGTTTTTGGAATGGCTGTCTTACAGGCTCCGAGTGTTTGGGTCACTTGAACAATGAATTCAGCACCACAAGTTTGCATCTCTGGAAAGCTCCTAAATCCACCCTCGCAACCATCCCTCGATGTTTTGTTGGCCCGCCTATCCACAAGCCCTGCACCTCAGACATTTTGGGTCAGACGACTTGGGTTGTCCACCGTTTTCAACAGTCCAAACAATCAAGTATATGTCAATTCAGTCCAGGTTCAGCAAACACCATCAACTACGCCATGTTACGTCCAGGTGGGTCTTTGTTGGGCTGTTCAAGTCACTGGTGCCCGTTCTTCGGCGCCGGACTCCTCGTTTCCGGGACGACTCGTGCGAGTTCTCGTCGACTCGTGAGGCATGGCGAGTCCCTTCGCGTTCGGGCTCTCAGTCGACCAACGACGAAGTCGGACGTCCGACACCACGAGTCGACTCGCTGAGACCGGTCAGGTCGTCTGTGGTCGGGGGGAAGGAGAGGAAGGATGTTTTGGACGCATGTTCTCACAGCCGTGTGCTGGGGACATGGTTTAGTTTTCAACAAAACATGTGTTTTTGGTTGATTTTGAAGAAGGTCATTTGAGGGACGACGAAACGTTACTGTATTTCCGCTTCGTTTCACCGGGAGTTCCATGATCATGGTATGGAAGTCGAAACAAGGAGTGCCGTTTCTTTGCTGGGCCTCGATGCGGACCCTCCGGCGCAGCCGTCGACAGCCAGTCAGGTGCTTTCTGCGCACCCAGCCATTTGGTGCAATCGGTATCTCCGAATCTCCCTGCATCGTGCGCTGTTGGGTTTAAGCTGGTGGATACTCAGTCGGGTTTCATTCATTGGAGGGCACCGTGACTTTGGGTTGACCATGGTGCCGGTGTGTCTATTTGTTTGGATGTCAGCTGGGAGACCTCAATCTTCTGAGGAACTTGCCCCAGCCAAGGCACAGCTGCGTGATAGGTGGGAAATTGACCCAACTGCGCTTTCCAAGCCCAAGCAAACACTTCTCATCTCACCTCTCACCAGGCTTTGGGAGAGTGTTTCTGTGGGGGATTATATGATTATGGGTCACTGTACTGTGGGGTAGTGCAACCTTCTGCCAATGTTTCACCCTGAGTTCTTCCCGCGTTAAAGCACCTTTTCTTGGGCCGAAAGGAATGTTCAGTTTCCATCCGGTTTGGCATTCGGTGTTTTTGGCAAGAGTGCTTTGCCGTGTCAATAGCTGGACTCTTTACGCGTTTTTTCTCCAAAATGGAAGCCTTGGAATTCATTCACATTTGGCCAGCAGAACCGGAGAGTATCAAGCTTTGACCAAACATTGGACACCCACCTGGTAGTCTGTCTTTGGCAAATTCTTGGCGGACATAAAACATACCATCTACATTGAGCCCCAAACAGGCCGAAACGACAGAACAGATCAGACTTGAAGCATCAAATTGAACAACTTGGCCCATCTGAACCAGTCATTAATGGCATCTGAGGCCGATTCCGATGGGGTTGGTCTGTTCTTTTTTGGCTTTTTGTCGCTGCGTCAGGGAGTCTGCAGGCCCTGCACTTCCACAGGTGGGCACGCTGTCGATCATGTGATTGGGTTTTGGGTTTTGGATGGTTTTGGGTTACGTGCTTGGAGGTTGGGGGATTGGAATTGAGAGGATGGTATGAATGTATGCCCCCTCATCCCCTACCATCCTCTACAAACCATACCATACCATGGGTTAGTTAGATTTGTGGTTGAGAGATGTTGAACGTTGGATTTTGAGATTTGGGGAGATAGGTACGAAAGCATGATAAACCATGTGCGGATCCCGGGTTTTGTTTTTGGTGGGACCATGTCTGGTAGTCCGCGTGCCTCAGGGCGTATGTGGATGTATTTGCACACTTTTGCACACATTGGCATGGGTTTATATAACTGTAATAAAATCAGAGTTATTCCTCCTTCCAAGATAGGGGCTTTTGGCACAGAGGTCTTGTACAAGGATTTCCCCCAATGGCGAAACAAGCCGCCAGTCACTCGTTTTTGTGACCAACAGTGGCCACGTGCCAACACCACGAAGTGCATACCGATTGGCTTAGTGGGCCTCAGTTTCCCTATCTAACTGTTTAACTCATGCTTTGCAAGATATCCTTGTGCTGAAGAAAGAACCCCCCTACTAGGTTGGAGCTAGTAGGTTGGAGGCCATCGCTACTTGTGCTGAAGAAAGAAGCCTCAGATTGTAAAGGTCACCCCCAGGTCACCCAGATTGACCCCTTGTCGAAGCTGTCGGATCGACTCAACCGATGCGTCCGCCCGGATGTCTGCCAGTCCGTTGCCTCTCAGGCTGGTCCACGGCAGTCCTCTTTGCCCGCCTTCATTTCCCTGGCAGAGGAATCGGGAACCCCGACGTTGGCCGAAGTTGGAGTATGGCTCTTACAGACCATACCGGCGTGGTCCCTGAATTCGGCGTGGTCTTTTTGGCGCTCGCTCTTCTAGAATCTAGAACATACCTCGAATGCCGTGCACGGTGGTCGGGAAGGAAGCTTCGGGGTGGTGCTGCAAGCTGTGTGCTCACCGCAATCAGCAGAGCTAGATGGCACAGAGTTATGTACATGGCAACCATGCACCCAAAAACGTAATACAGACCCCCTGGCATGGCATACTTTGAGTTAATACTATATTCATAAAACAAATATACAAAAAACACAAAAACACATCACATATTTTTATTTGTAATATACAGAACGGTCGGGCGCCACCGGGGGTCCGTTTTTTCTTTTTTTGCAGCACTGTGACGCCACAACTTCGGTCAGGAGGGCCAAGGGCCACCCCAACTTCCACTGCCACCACCTGGAGTTCCCGGAGTTCCTGGAGTTGGAGCTCAAGGACTGCCTGGTGTTCCACCTGGAGTTCCAAGCAACTTGCTCTCAGGCCTGGAGTTCTCGGGCGTTCCAGGCTGGTGGTTTTCCTGAGAGTGTTCCGGTTTTCCTCCTCCTCCTGGGCGGTCTAGCCAGGAGGTCCAGAGTCGTTTCAAATGGTCCGCTCGGCCAAGCGGAATCATCCCCCTTCATTGGATTTTGTACGATTGAATTGGGATCCCCAAATCGAGAGCTCCAGATAGACCCAGCACTAAACGAGGGGTGCAGAGGATGGCTGTTTATCCATAAGGCCATAAGGAAGGATTGACTCAGAGCAGCACTTCCTTGCGCTCAGTTGGGAGATCTTGGGATTGGAAATCCAAGTTATGGGAAAAACCAGGACGAGATCTTGCATGGTTAACACCGTTCGACCATGTTCGACCTGTTGAACCATGTTCGACCGCCTTAACCTACCCAGGAAAAGTGGATAACCTTTAACGTTGTTTTCTCCTTGGAATTGGTTTCCCCACTTAAACAGTTAACCCTGGATCTTCGGCTTGGGAGTCGGTTCAACCTGGATCTTCTCAGATCGCCAGTCATCGCAGGTTGGAGGCCATCGCTGATAGGTTGGAGGCCATTACTACTAGGAACAAGAAGCTACTAGTAGCTCCTTGCATTGCTACTAGAAACGAACAGCTACCAGGAACAAAGGGCATTGCTACTAGGAACAAACAGCTACGAACGTAGCAAGAAGCGCTGCGCGGAGGTGCCGGTGGGTTTTCGCCTGGAGGGCTCTTGAACCTGGCACAGGCTGCGCAGGCGCCCTGTTTGTTTCAGGTAAGGCATGGCCATCAACTGGATTCATGTAATTGCAGGGCTCAAAGCTTGATTTTTTGGTAACTTTGTTATACACAATAATATACTGTATACTCTACCACGAAGACTGCTATGACTATGACTACACAAACAAAAACATTAAGACGCAACCCCTTTTCGGAATTCCCATTCTGCCAGTTACAAGGTGCATTCGCTCATGTGCCGCTGTTGGACTCGAATCAGAGAAAAGCAACGCACGTCACCGCGCTTCATCAGAGATCAGGGTGCAGGAGCCACAGGGCACCAAGTCGTAAACCCGAACTGATCCTTTACTGAAAAGGACCGAACTTGATATCCCGGTTGGTTCGGTCACCTAGGGGCTCCAAAAAGGTTACTTTGAAGAAGCTCGTACAAAGCTACATTTGCTCAATTCCAGATCCTGCGTGCTGTCCGATGCTTCTGTGAGTTACTGCGAGTTGCCCCAACTCTTGGTACAAGAGTGTATAAGAAAACCCACCGGACACTTGGTCTCAGTCTCACCGTCCTCAACCATCCTTTCAGAGGGTCCTTCAGCGCTTGCTGAATCGCTGACCTGATCCCCTCGGGCGCTTCGTGCTGACGCTTGCTTCGCGGCCAACGGAACTGGGCCTCAGGTTGGGCAGAATCCAGGATTTGCACCATTTCAGGTGCCTTTTGAGGATCCGAAGTTTATTTTGTGTGCGCCAAACAAAGATCTCCTAGGTCAGCATGCAAAGGTACCTGTTTGATTTCATTTTGAAGAACACCTGGATATAGACTCTTTTCTTCATTTTTGCCTGCACAATGTGAATCACAGGATGATCCTAGAAATGTCCATGATCGCAGAAAGCCCGACATGTAGGACAAGGAGAATCCTCAACACGTGGGTTTAGTAGAGAGAAGTTTTGAGTCGTTTTTTGCAGCCCTTTCTTCATATTGTGAGACTCTGTTTGGAGATCCAAATGCATGCGATCCTTCTCAGGCGCCCACACCGGCAATTCAGGCACAGGCGCAGGGTTATTTGCAATGAAGTGGGTTTGCAGCCCACAGCCGAAAGTCCTGTATAGGCTATACGTAGGGTGTTTGACCATCGCTCAAATCTGCAATCCAAACTTACTGTGTATATGAAAGGCCTCAAAACTAGGGCTAAAGCGCAAGAATATAACAACGAACTTGATGCAGACGGACATGGACAGCAGATGACAGCAGATGACAGCAGTACTTGGTCTTCTTTTCAGACCAACCCAGTGCTGGATTGGTTCCATGGCCCAACTCGCATGGGGGCTTCGCCCGTGCCTGTTCCCGGCGCCTTCGCCCATTCGACCGGCAGATGGCGCACGAGCGACTTCTGAAAGATGCATCGGAGAGGTGGGAAACCCAGGACTTTCCTCGGTCTCGTGTGCGTGTGGTTTTAGTGTAAAGCACTGCAGCGAGACACTTTTTCTGTTCTGGTTTGTGTCTTGGTTGATTGGTCGTTGATGTATGTGTACCTCTAAGGTAGCTAGAACTGGAGGATTCAATCGATTTGGGTGCGTTGAGGGTCATGATGGGCCCGAGTATGTTACTGCCTCCATGCCGCAGGGAGGTCATATCATTTAGCGAACTTTTCATGAACACTGCAAGAGCTTGCGGCAAGTCAGAATGAGGAAACCGTTCTTTTCATATGACTATTTCCAGAAAGGGGGCCTCTCTTCCAAGCCAGCAGTTTGGACCCACAACTGACCACCAACGAAGGGTACCGGGGTACCGGGGGCCTCTGGCGTTTCCGGTCTGAGGCTGGGTCCATCCTCTGAGCGGCTCAGCCAATTGCAGTTGGAACGCCCAGACGGTGGAGCACCGCCAATTGCTGTGCGGATCCGTGCAAAAGCACACCGGTTCCAAGCGCCAAACGGGCGTAGTTGGCAGTGTCACGGCCGTAGGAACGGTTGCTCTGTTCAGTCTCGAGCAAAGCCACGAGCAAGGCTCAGGAACGTCGGATGGCCAGAAGGCTCAGTGAAGTGAAGTGATCTGGGGATTTGAATGGAGTGATCACCAACATCAGAAGGTCAGCATGAAGGCGGAAGTCTACTCTACTCTACTGTACTTGTATTGCAGACAAATTAGAGATCAGCTTTCTCTGCTTTTTTCGCTGCACAGGGGCATCAAGCTTCCAAGTCGCAACCACCTGGGGGTGCCTTCTGGTCATCAGATCTGATGGACACCTGTTGAACGGTCTCCCAGCTCACCCCAGCTCACCCTTCCACCCCTGCGGAACCCCCGAGGTCTCCGCCATTGGACCCACGAGGTCTCTCTTCGTGCCTTGGGACGGTCGGTCGGTCGGTGGGCGATGTATTGGTCTTCACGAAAGGTAGGTCGGTGATCTCAGTGTCGGTCCGCTGAAACTGCTTTTCCAAGGAATATGGGCGAACCATTTCAGAGTTGTCTCAGGATTTTCTCAGATTCCTTGGCCCTTTGGAGTGTTCCGAACCCGAAGAGAAATTGGCGATGAGAAACTAAACAGGATGTTTCCCCAAGAGGTTTTTGCATGTTTTTGCCCCATCTGCCACACCATTCACTATGTTCACCGTTTCTCAACTAGTCTTCGACTCGAATCCATTTCCAACCAGATTCGAGGATGTGTCCAATGTGTCCTGCAGATAACGCAACTGATAGAACATCCATCAATTTGGCACCCCATCGAACGGAAGGGGCTGGACATGGGAGGCTGGACATTGGAGGGGTTCTTTTCCAATTTTTTACGTTCTTTTTTCGTCCCTCCACTTCTTAAGTCCTCTTCGGCTGGGATTTGAGGCTGATGGCAGCGCCAGGCTTTCAATCGTGGGGCCCCTGGAGCAACGCCGAGTTCGCATCTGAGACAACGAGACGAGGAAAGATTGACACCCGATGAGTCCCCCAAAGTACGAAGCGGTGCATTTTCACGAACCTGGTCCAGTCTCTTCTTCGAGGTCCATGGCTTTGTATGTTTTGTGATGAACACTGACTGAGAAGCTACACGTGCAAAGCTAACATGGACCCTAAAAACGACTGGTTTGTAGAGGAAAACGGTCTTTGAGGGTGCCATTCTCCCGGTCCATGTTAGTTTTCGGGAGTGTAAGTGGTATTGTTTTTCTATTTCTTGATGCTTTGTCGGTTGCTTTGGCTGCTCGGTCACTTGTGCACAGTCGCTGGTTGCCCACAATTTCCTTGCATGTTGGTCTGACGCATTTTCGACTCGCCAGAGTTGACTTGCCAAAGCACAGGATACGGCAACCCTGCGGCAACTGGAGAACTTGCGCGTTGTCTCCGAAGCATCCGCAAGTCCTGACAGCAACTATGCCAAAACAGCTGTGAAGTACATCCGCCAATTGCCAGAGTGGATTCTCTCACGATGCCCTTGGAAGAAGTTGATGAAGTTGATAAAGGGAAGGAGGGTAGGAAAAGCACAAAGAACTCTGCAGTCAACCAGAAGCCTTTTGGAACAGTTATGTAAGGAGCTGGGCCGCCGCGTTTGAAGACCATGCAGGCAGTAAACACCAGTTTACGCATTATGCACGCTCGCTCGCTTGTTCAGTTGCATTCGTTTCCGGGTGGAACGTGTGGTCAAACATCGAAGATTTGCTCCCAAGCACTGCAGGGGGATGCGTGGCAATCAAACAGGGGGGCTTGCTTTTTTTCATCTTTTTCTTTATCTACAGTAAGTGGATGTGTATCAAAATATGGAGACTTCCCAAAGAGCCTCTGGAAGAAGGCCGAAAGCTGCGTGAAAGCCGCGTGCCCGCCTTCCATTTGTTCGTGTTCGCGGACAGAGAACGAGGTCGAAGGCGATCATCGAATCTGATGCCTTTCATGCAAATAGGACAGGTATAGATCAAGAACATGTCGCTTTCCAGGCAAGCCAATCGCCTGCTGCATGATGCGAAGCCATAATATGCATTAATATGCGTTTTTCAGCCGGACAACATGGCGGGGTTCTTTTGCAGGCATCCACTTCTAAATTCCCTGGATGAAACTCCATTTTAATCTCTGAAGCTGGTCCGGTTCTTGTAGCTGGAAGGTCGTTGGACAACACGAGACAGTCTCAACGCCCGAAAGTTGGGTGCCGTTATATTTAGCTGTCCGTACAGGTGGAAAGTGTTTTCCCTGAGTACAAGTTCTGGTGGATGGTCGACGAATTGATATATGGCGTCAAAAAACAGCACTGGCGAGAACCCCAAAGGTTTCTCATGTTCACTCTGCGCACTGCATTTTAAAAACATCGGTTTGCTTCGGCGAAAACCAACGTCTTCGGTGTTTTGCTGCGGGGTGAATGGTCCGTGCGGCGACGCAGACCGTCTCGTTGGGTCCGCCTAGGCCTGGCTACGCTGACCTGGACTCAATGCTTGCAGAGGCCGAAGGAAAAAACACCCTCAAACAGTAAACACCACATCCGATGTGGTGGGAGGCAAGCAGGTATATTGTGTTGAACTGGGCGGAAGATATCGTGGAATGTTTTTTTTGGGATGTCTCAACTCACCCAAATTCAGGTGAAGCACTGGGCATCCGCAGACCACATTTTGATAGCATCGGATCCTCTGGGGACGTTCGGGCGTGGTCATTTGGAGACTAAGCACTGAAAAAACCGCTGCAGCTTCCGCCAGAACTTGCTGAAGCAACGACACCATCTGGAGTCGCGGCCCCGACGGCGGCAGTTGCTCTCCAACTGGGAAAGTAATCACCCTCCATCAAACAAGCACGGAAGTGGAATATGGCTGCTTGGAAGATGGATTTCCTCTATGAACAGGTCCATTGAGGGAGAGTGGAGATTTGTATTGAATTGTTTCGTTGAAATGAATGAGTGCCGGCCTAGGCAACTTCATCTTCAAAAGATGCAGCAGCAACAACTGCAGTGTGGTCCTCGTTCAGACGGTACGGCGACCACGGTGAAGGCTTCACTATTGTACGTAATATGCGAGAACCACCCAATCACTCAAGAGTCCTAAGAGCTTGTCTCCAACTCCGCCACACAGTTCTAGACGCTTTCCTGGGCTTGGGGCTTGCCTTTGCGAGGAAGCCTCTTTCCCGAGATGACCCGTCTGAACACCCAAAAGTGGGGCTTGAGGTCTTTTCTGGGGCTGCATGAACGCCGCTGAGGCTGCATCACCTTATGCAGCAGCAACAAATTCTGCAATCGCAGATGCAACTGCCGCAGATGCATCAGATGCAGCACATGCCCTGGGCCCTAGTGGTGGCCCGCGCGGGTCCTTTTGTGCGAGTTTGTACTCGTGGATGGGAAAAGAGTTTGCCAGAAGAGGTTAGACACTGACTCTGGGGTTAATATCAAACAAGGTTATCAAACATCTCACCCTTGAATTTGATTTGTTCGTCGACCAGCGTCCCACAATGCCTGGCCACAAAATAAGTGCTCAAGCTTCATTGTCGAAAGTTGGACAAATCACATAGGTTCCTCCAAGAGCCTCCTCCAAGAGCCACATGCTGCAAAGAATGCTGTGGGCGCGCTGTTATGCAAGTCCTTTACCGGGAGCCATTCCCCTAAGACTCGGTGACAAGGTTGCATCACAAATGATCTCAGATGGAGCAACTTATATTTTTGCAGAGTTGGCTGAACTACACCTTTGGGCGGAAGGACTAAGATTCAGTGTCACATACCTCAAGTTGGGCCTGACCCGGAGCACGTTGGCAGTGCGGTAAAGGTGATGAGGTCGACAGGGCCAGTATTCTTCAGCATGCAATTGCTCAGTGGAGATGTCAACATGAGCCGGAGCGGCAAGAAGACCAAACTCTGGCCGAGACATCATGGAACACCGATGCTTAGAGGATGCTCGTTGGAACGCCTTTTTGGCGAAGGCTACTCTCCAGAGGATGGTGATGAGTTCGACCATCTAGGTATCGAGAACAACGAACAATTTGTGCAAGAGACAATGGAACGTCTCCCTCGCTGGAATGAATTCCTGGTGGAATTGAATAAATGCGCGGGTCATGCCCCACATGTTTCGAAACAGGCTTTTTGCAATCGACTGAGGAGTATAGTTAACGAGTACTCCCACATTGCTTTGCCGCCCTCCACACAAGTTGTCCTCCAGAATTTGCTCGAACATGTCAAGTCTGGTTCACTTGCTGCTGGCGGGAATGGGAAGGATTTGCTCAAAGATATTATCGAAGAGCTTTTGCAGGACATGCGAGACACTGAGAAGAAACTTCCACCTGAACTAAATCTCATCGAGTTGCCAGTGCCAGGTGACTACCACGCGTTCGGGAACAATTGTCAGCATGACCTCAAACGAGTGATTCGACATATTAAGTTGTTGATGTTCAAGTGGAAGGATGCCCAGCAGTGACCTTGGAAGCACTCGACATTTGGAGCCAGCAGTTCAAGATTTGGATTGTGTATCAAAACTCTAGTCGTTGCAGGGGTATGTTGTTTGATATAGAGGTTTTGTTGAAGGAGCGATCTTTAGATGAGGACGCAACAGGATATCAGGAACATCACCAATGACGGTGACCAAATCGTTTGCATGAAAAAGTCAATATGTGTCCAGCATCTGAGCGTTGCAAAGTAGTGTCCGGGTTCGGCCGCGTTCACCCATACTCAAGGATGGGGTCGGGAAAGTGAGAATGCTTACCATTTTCCAACGTAGAGCTTTAGGTTTTATGTGATTTTATGGTTGGAACACAGTGCAGAAGCTGCTCAGCTCGACTTCAGATTTTCAAGGTCTGAGTTATTTCCTGGACCTATGCAGCGTTTGTACGCTTTTGCAAAGCATGTTATTGAGACTATCCTCTGTCTCTTCCGACAAGGCTTTCAATAGCAGCCTACGGGGAGGTTTTCAAACACGTTCGAGGGACATAGCAAAGTTGTCCATGCTATAGTCTCTTGAAGGAGCACGTAATATAAAGATATTCACAAGGCATCACAAGGCGAAATGCCATGAAGTGCTCCTCTTCAAGCACCCAAAGATCGTGTTTTATTTTTCAATAAAGGCCAGCATGTTGTAAGTTGTAAGCATTATAATATACACAAATTAATTACATTACATAACAACAAAGTCACAGAACTACCATGCAACACCTGATCCTTTCTGTGTTCCGGTCGCAATCCTCTCCAACGGTGGTGCGCTTCCACCGGAGGCCGCAAATGATGCCGACCGCGCCGCGCCGAGATGGGTCGGGGGGCTCGTGGCGGCGTGTTCGAAGCGCGGTGGTTTTGCTGCAGAGGTGTGAAAAGCAAAACAAGAGAGTCTTCACAAAGTGATTGTAACATATTTTGTACTATCATGGTGCATCTCTTTCTCAAAAAAGTAAATCAGGGGGGCCAGACTTTGATTTGGCCGTGGAGATACCTGTATCCTCAGCCGCTGGCGAGACAGCAGATCGACCGCAAAGCGCATCAAACGACGTCGCGTCATGTCCAGTCGCTGCTGCAGTCCAACCTGCTGCAATCTCCACAAAGAGTTTGTCACGATCCGACTTGGACCGGTTCAATACAGGGGTCACCCAAGTATTGATGGGCTATTCAGGAACATACTGCAGACCAAAGCACAACCGAGGGGAGAAATCAATGGAACGCCCAATGGGCGTTGAGACCAATGGGCTCTCTCCGTTGGTTGACCACACAGGCGGCCGGATCGGCACGAACAGCGAGAGCATCGCAAGGACAGAGACCTGGAAGGGGAAGAATCAGGGGGGGCTGGCTTGACCCATGGTCAAAGCATGTCAAACCTATTTTTCAGGTTCGTTCCTCCACAAGCTGGAAAGGAAATTGCCCGGAAGTTGCATACAGGGTTGAAGGCGTCCTCTTAAAGGCTACCTCAAAAGATTGAGGCGGACGTGAAAGAAACATACAGAAACCGACGGCGTGTGATGTGCCCCAGGCGTCAAATTGTACCCAGAAGGGCAAGATAGGGCAAGTATATAGCTACAAACCAAGTTTTTTTCTGTTACTTTTCAGGGTTCCACCTCTGTGTTGGCCAGTGATTCTCCAGGAGAAGTCTTCACCATCGAAACGGCTTGTGCCCAAGGTCATAAAACGCATGCTGCAACTACAACCTTTGAGCATACATGTCTATTTTCCTCTGTGATTTCATGTGTATCCTGGATCCTAGCTAAGACACGTTGATTATGTATATATAATTATACAAAGAGCAACTCATTGAAATGCTGCTCATGATCAATACCAAGGAGTCAAAGAACCATCTCTCCACCCTCGAATCTATCACCTGGTTCAAACACTTTGTAGTCACTGGGTGTTTGGGACTCCTCTCACTTCTACTCCCCGGGAGGCTCGGTCCTTTAAGGCGGTTTGGAGGCGGTTCATCTCCGGTCTGAGGCAGAAAGAGAAGCAGACCACCGTCATGTTGCGGAATCTCCCAGTGGGGTGCGCCGGCCCCCAACCCCACCGCCGGCGATGGACCTGGGGGGCGGTCTCGAAACCTCGTCGAGCTGGACACACCGAACAGGGGAGGACGGTGTTGGTGATGGAGACCTCAGGTACTCCCGGGACATGCTGGTGGCCTTGATGAACCGAAATGGGTTTGAATCATGTCGGGTGCCTCAGAGATGTTTCAACCCCAACTCTTCGTTGGTTTGAAGAGTTGTTGGCACTTAATTAGGCCTATAGAAGCAGCTGTTATAGATAGAGAACCCTTTCATTCCAATATTTTCGGTGCAAACATAGACACTTCTAGACTCTGTGACTTTTTATTTCTCCTGGGAATACGGCTTTGTTTGTATTTGTTTGTCAGTTCTGCATACAGACTCAGTTGCCTTTTTCATTGCTCGCATTTGCACTGGGTGATCTTTTCCTTCAGAATTTCAGAGTTTCAAGCCTCTTTCAGTTTAACTTGCCAAGGTTTAACTCACAGAGGGGCACTGTTTTGAATGACACATAGACGACTCAAGGTCTTGGATCATGTTGTGTTTCCATGTCATGGCCATGTCAGATGATATCGACTCTACAGACCATGTCGCCCCGCTTGAGGCTTCGACTTTGTCTACATTCCGATCAACTTTCGCACCCAGGCGCACGCAGTGATGACAGCGCAGATATTCCGCCGATGATGCCTATGGCATAGTGAGCCTTGTTGTGTCAACCTGGAGGGAAGTTCCGTTGGGCGAGGATCACGCGAGGATCCCAAGGATGATCCCTGGGATTTTCTCACAAAGAATCTGCCACGCAACACGCAGATTTCCCTTCCTATCCCTAATTTTGTCAGCAATTAAAATTCGATGTGACCCCTCTTGACATGTTCACAGCCGTCTAGAGGATGCCTGAGGAGGCCAAATAGGAACACCCAGGGCAAGAAGGTCCGCGAGCTCCGCGAGCCTTGGCCAACCTGGTCGACCGTCACCTGGTTCACAGCTGGTCAGGCTATGTTCGGGTATGCCTTCGTGAACTTCGTGGATGAGCTGCAAGCCCTGCGTGCGCGGGAGGTCTTTGAAGGCGTAAAGCAACCGAATTGGAGTGCGGACCAGTAGTGACTCAGACGTAGTCCCGACGTGTCCCGACTGGAATCATCACCTCTGGTTACTCTGGTTCCCAACTTTTTGTGTTGCAACTTGAGGTCATCAAACTGTTGACATGATCTCTCCCGGCTCACAACTGGTTGATGCCAATGCCAATGCGGCCACAGCTTAGGATGCTTAGGATGCTTAATGTCAGGGCTAGTTGATTGATATTGGCTGTGCGGCAGGGCTTTTAATGTAGACTTTATTAATGATACCCCCACATGAAGAGGACTCTTAATCCAAACGGGATCGTCCGCGAGTGAGCGCATCCAAACGGGATGGTTTATTTATCAAGAGTCTACATTATAGCTCGTTCATCTTGCTGTGAGGCTTTTAGTATACCACTCCTGCCTTCGCAGGGCGAATGACGGCTACTGCATGGCTATTGAAGTCGCACAACCTTCACAGCTGTCACATGACTCCGGCTCCGCTTGTGCATGCGCTGCGGCGCTGCGCTGTGCAACTCCACTCAAAGCTACTGTAGTCTTGAAAGAAAAATATCAAAACAGTCAGACACACAGACCAGATGTCCAATACTCCCAAATCTGCATGAAGATAAATATCTCCCTGCCTTGAATCCTCCACCCCTGGTCGCCAGGCTTTACCAACTGGGGGGTCCAGACCGACAAAGTTTGTGAAGTATCATGGAGCGATATGCATCAGGCATGGGCTGCTTCGGGCTGCTTCGGGCCGCTTGGGATGGTGGGAACAGACTCGCCGGAGATGTGTGAAGAGTGAGAATAGACAGAACGACGGACACCGTGGACACAATGGTCTTCGCATGCGCTGACTCTCTGATATACAGTATATATATATACTAATCATGGTCAATAGTTTTCAAAACCCATCTGATTTTCTGTTTTCCAAACAAATGCTGCAACCACGCCTTCTTTGGGATTCTTCAGCTCCCGCACGAGCGCAGCTTGGGTCACAACAAGCTGGACGAAGCTCTCAGGATGACCGAAGGCTTTGGAGCCTCAAATGACTCCAAAAAGGGTGATTTCGACTTTTCAGGGGTCCTTGGTACAACGGAAAAGCGCGCAAACCAGCCAGCCAGCCCTCCGAAGTGTGTGCAAGATGAGGCAAGAAACTTCTGATTCCTTGTTGGTGCGGACAAAGCATAGGTGCCCTGACATTCAGAAGGGCTGAGCAATCACGAAAGGTAGCTTGAGCTACCTGAGTTCTCCTTGCTTTAGCAAAAATGTATTACAATCAGGAGTTGGGATTGTGCATTGAGTTTGGTCCTGTAAGAGTTGATTCTGTTCGTGGGATCAAATCCCCCCTGCGCCGGTTCACGCCGTCATGGACTTTGACCAGGGTTGCTGGTGATTGCCTGCTACCTTTCGTTCACCCCCTCCTCTCTCAAGTTGATAGAAAAGGACGTTTTCCGCTTGGGACCCCATCCATTGCATGAACACCACATGAAGCCGCCACAGGGCTTGCTGGCGCACGTGAACCGTTACCGAAGCAGCATCGCGCTGAGTTGGGGGGTTGGGGAGCTCCGGGAAGCCTACGCCTAGCCGCAGTCCAAAAGAAAAGAATTGCTGTTCCACAATTTGAGTTCGTAGATCAACAACTGAACTGAACATTGTCCATTCATTGCTCTTACTGAGCAGTCCATACTGTCCACTTTAGAGCCGAGTTCTGACCTTCCTGCAGGTGTCAGTTGAGAGACCCCCAAGTCCATGCGTTCTTCTTTTTCTGTGCGGGCTGACCTGTGAGGCCCAGTGATGCATGAGTCAGTGCCTGATGAGTACAAGCCAGCTGTGCACTTTGTATGCAGAGCTGGTGCGAAACTGGACAGCGACAGCGCTTGAACTGCTCTCTCCATAGCTTGAACTATTTTGGTGTGGCTTTGATAGTCAGAAGTTTCACTGGTACAACTTGCTTCAGGAGTTCTGACATAGCCCATACCTGATCTTTGTTCACTAGACCACGCCATGCAACGATCCCGCGAAGAGGCCTCGGGATCGCACAGCCAAGGTATTCACAAGGAAAGAGAGCAGCTTGGGCTGCAAGGGCATGCTGGCGTTGCCAAGGAAAAGCCTTTCAGCAACCCCGCAATGGCATATGGCCCCGGGACATTCCTTGTGATCCTTTTTTTCCCAAAAGCATCTCCAATGCTTGGGTTCTCGTTTAGTCGCTAGTGCCGGGGGAGAGCGAGGAAAAGCTTACGTTGTCGGGGACGAAAGATGGAGGTGGAGGTGGACGGGGTTGGGAAGGGAAGAGGGAAGGGAAGGAAGAGGGAGGGGAAGGAAGGGAGGGGAAGGAAGGGAGGGGAAGGAAGGGAGGGGAGCGAGACGGGAGGCGCACGGGTGGGGACGGGGTTGGGGAGGGAACAGATGGAGGGGAGCGAGACGGCAGGGGCAGGGGTGGGGACGAGAAGATGGAGGGGAGCGAGACGAAAGGTGCATCGATGGGGACGGGGCTGGGGGAGGGAAGCGCAGGGGTGGGGACGGGGTTGGGGAGGGAATAGATGGAGGGGAGCGAGACGGGAGGGGCATGGGTGGGGACGGGAAGATGGAGGGGAGCGAGACCCAGAACCCGGAACCGAGTTCCCGGTTGCAAGTGAGGCGCAACATG